GGATTATTATTATTATTATTATTATTATTATTATTATTATTATTATTATTATTATTATTATTATTATTATTCATCATCATCATCATCCTTATTATTGTTATTATTATTATTATTATTATCATTATTATCATCATTATCATTATTAGCGTTATTATTATTATTATTATTATTATTATTATTATTATTATTATTATTATTAATGAATTAGTTCATCCCTCCAATCATGACGAAAATGATCAAATACTCGGCGATTAAAAATGACATGAAGAAAGAAATAAGTTTATAAATACACGACACATCTTTATTCGATGCAATAAGCCATCAATTGATTTTATTGGTTATAAACAAGAATGCTAAATAGAGATTTAATAACTAAGTTTAATCAAATTGGTTAATCAAAGATTGCTAAATAGACCGCAGCCTAGCAGTCAAACATAAATGTGCGATTGGTTGAAACTTTAAAATTCAGATACGACAATTCAACAATCACAAAAATATGAAATGTGTCGTATGTATTTATTTCTTTAAGAAGAAAGTAATACGCATTGCCCACGCGTTTTGTTTATTCCTTTGCCAATTTAACATAGATATATTTTATAAATATTTTATAAGTATTTTGTTTATTTCTTTGGTTTAATTTGCGAACTGCGAGAGAATATTCGATAGTTATTTACAATAAAGGACACCTCGTCGATTAGCTTGACTTAGACATATATTGTCATCTCCCTGAGTAACAATTAAAAATTTTAGCCGTCACTTGTTATTCGTTAAAAAGTTATTAACAAAGAAAATTTGAAAAATATATCAGTTTTTAAGTTAACGTTTTCTTCTTTTCATTTATACATAAGTCGTTGAATAACAACGGAACTTCAAATTATTCAAATTCGTATTGATGAAAAACAAGAATTGAAATATGGACACTTTATAGTTTCTCTGATAATGGTGATTGATTAAATAATCGATCAGTTTTTCTTTATCTACAATGCTCAAGAACTCATAAAGACGCATGATGTTATACGTATCAGTATGAAACTAAGGAACAGTAATGTAAATACGCGGTCAAAATGTCACATGCGTGTAAATATTTATATTTCTATTACTGAAAATAATGCGCAGATATCATATAATTTTCTGACATCGTATGCGTTTAAGAAATAAATAAATAGGGATAAATAGGGATAAATAAAAGAATGCAAAAGGCGGTAAATTTTGAATAACAAATTATTATCAGTTATTATGTTTAAAAATTCTCTGCTTTAAAACACAAAATACGTAAGAAAATGATTTGTGTTTTTAAAGCAGAAAATTTATGTTTTAAAGCAAAGAATTTGTATTTTTAAAAAAGAGAATTTGTGTTTTAAAACAGGGAATTTGTGCTTTTAAAGCTGAAAATTTATGCAACTTAAATATATATAATTTAAATAAATTGCATAAATATAATATTAATAAACAAACATAGTATATATTTATTTATTTAAATATACAAATATATAAATATATAAATAATATTATATTTATGATGTTGAAGCATAAATTAAGGCACTAAATATTTATATCATTAATTTCATTTCTTAATAACTTTTTAACGAATAACGAGTGATGGCTAAAACTTTTTGTTACTTAGGGACGTTACCTTGACAATATATGTCAAAGTCAAACTGATTGACGAGGTGTCTCTTATTAAGTAAATAATTATCGAATGTTCTTCGAACTAAAATATTTAGTTATCCTGAAAAGGGCAAATTAATTACATAGGCCGAAGTTTTAAGACTCTTTTCGATTGTTTGAATAAAAGATACCTTTTTCGATGTATTTTTGCGCTGAATACAAATCCGATAATTAAATTACTCTATTATGTAAGGTTTCTATGAGAAAATATTAAATATTAAAATATTAAAAATATTAAAATTAACATTTTTTGATATATTTGTGATTTTTTGCCAGCAAACTAAATTTTTTCTTTATTGTCGTTTACGCCATCTTAAAATCCCAACTTTTATCTTTAAAATAGATTTTTTTAACGCTGTATGTTTTTTC